CTCCCGGTTCTCGCCGGTCGGCTGAGCCCCCCGGGGGTGCCGGTGGGTGCCCTCCCCGCCGGCGCTCCGCTCACCCTGGGAGCCGCGTCCTGCAAATAAAGCTGACGACCGGGAAGGGAGAGGGGAGCTGAGCCCTGAGTCCGCGCTTACAGGCAAATAAATCCCTTAGAGCACGGTCGACTTGCTGAGAATTTGGTTTCCTAGCGAGAATGGCAAGTCGCTTTTAAACTGAAGTTTGTGGCAGGTGGTAGTTCTTGCTTTAGCTTGTGTACTTCAAGTGCGTGACCCACTTTGCGTTTAATCTGCTTTGCTGTAGTTTTCCCCCTTGCTTACGGCATTACGTACCAAATACTGAAGGAGTGTTTCATGAAACATCTCTGGCTTTTAGTTGATATAAGCGAAACAGGTTTTAATTTGGTTGCTTTAACCAGCCCAGTTTCAGATTGCATCCCTGTAGGTGGGCTTGGATGTGCTCAAATCCTGACCAGGGGTCTTGAGGGGGTTTAGTACGCTGTGAACATGCCGCTGGTAAATTATTGATTGCTCAGCTATCCTTCAAGAAGCCTTTCAGAATAAACTCTCTCGAATAAAAAGAACCTACAGCAAATACGTTTTCATAATAGTATGTGTCTGTGTGTGCTGTGTGTTTTCTTCTCAGTAGTGCCTGAGATATTTGCTAAAAACCAAACCAGAACAGATGGAGTCATGCTAGTTTGTTCTTCCTGACAGCTTTTAGTGCTTATACAGGTGGTTTATGTTAAACGTAAGAGCACCCCTCTTACGCTTTTGAAAAGGAGAGAAAGAACCTGCTGGGCTTCACCCATCCACTACTAAAGTTGTACTTTAGTAGAGTAGTACTAAAGTAGAGTTTTGAAGTTTTGTTTTTCCAGTTTAACAGATTTTAAGGTTATATCTAAAACCACGTTGTTACGGAGCTTGTCTTGCTATTACTGGTGTGATTTGACAGGTGCTCAGAAGTACACATCCTCAATGGTTTGTGTTAGCAGCTTTCAACTTTGGGTTGTAAGTGTATGAAATCACTCTTGTCTGTGGGGAAAAGACTGACTGAATACTGTACAGCAGTTTGGTACTACCTTAGCTGGGGAATGAGGAGAAATAGTCCTCGATTACCTTTCTCTCATCCAGAGGACAGAACTGGGTTTCTTTGGTGCTCTCATCCAGAAAAGTATTGCTAAGAGAATATAGCTTCTGTGTATCTCTACCAATGAAATGATGGGATCACTTTGAAATTTGCTTTGATACTAAGCAAGTATTTAGTATTTTCTGTTTGCCCGCACAAGCACCGAAAATATTTATATGATGGCAGTTTCCTTAGGAGTGATGAAGAATCAGTACAAGCGCTTTTGTGTTGCTATGTTCTTAAATAACAGAGGGTTGAGTATCATTTTTCTTCTAGTTCTTCTAAATGAATGACTTTGCATGACTCTCCAGTGAGGTTGTAGGGTGGTGTGCGTATTCCAATATGCACAATACAGGTATTGTTTAATTGCTACAGTTGACATCGAAATGAGCTGAAACTGCTAAAGAGCAGTTCATTTTAAGAAAATGAGCTTGATGATTTTGCATCATTTTTTGACATGTAACAAGCTTTTATTTTGTACTTTCTTCATCTCGATTAGATTCGTAAAATACAGCTGACTGCTGTCCGAGTACGCTTGTCATGGCAGGTTGGGGTTTTTTTGGAAAACCAGTTCCCTTAGTTAGTTTGGGTTTCTCTGTGATTTGATGTAGTAGTGCGTATCATTTAGGACTCATTTATCACAATGATTTCAAAGTGTATTATCTCTTGTTAGTCTGTTCAAACTACAGCTTCTTGACTCTATCCCAGGAAATCTGAGAAACATCCTAATGCATTTTGCCCAAACCGATGTTATCTGTGATTCTGGTGCTGGGGAAAGTGTTTTCCTCATTTTGGTGACTTGCAGTGAACCTAGTAAGAATTATTACAAATCCAAAAGCTACTCCCAAACTGGTTCAGCTGCATTTTGCCACTCTTCTTCCCTACCAGCCTTCCCATATGAAAATAAACTCTTTGGCAGCCCACCGCCTAGAGAGACGGATGCTGTAGTAAGTAGACATTTAAAGGGCTGGGTGCAGGAGAGCTGCTGCTGCTGGGGGTCCTTCCATTGATGGTATGGATTTTGAGGAGAAGTTGGGAGGCAGAGGCTGAACCTCTGAGGAAAGAGGGACAAGTGAAGCGAAGAACTAGTGCTTCATTCTGAGCAGCAAAAATAAGACTGGAAACAGGGTAAACTACTACAGATACTCTGTAAAACAGAGTATCTTTTCTTCCACCTCTAAATATCTGTTATAAGTAGGTAGAAAAACTTTAGCAGCAGATTTAGTATTCTCCTGTTAAAATGTTAAGATAGGTTTTAATATTATTTTTTTTTGTGTATGCATACTTGTGTTTTGAAAGTTGCACTGGGTAAAGGTCTGACCTCTAGACAAAAAGAAAAACCGTGCTAAAACCCCTCAGATGGCTTCACTAAGTTTTCTCGTGATGGAAGGAAGAACTCTGGCTGTCCTGTATGTGGGTATTCCCTTCCCCTGTGAGATATGTATGTTTGTATCATTTCATAGTTGTGTTTCAGAGATAAATGGCAACTGATGAACTTTTCTTTCTAATTATTAATGCCTGGATAGAGAAAGCTTGCCGGTCAGCTGTTCCTAGCGCTTCTGATCAAAATGCTTTCCAAAGAATGCTTTATTTTTTCTTTGGCATTACAGGTGCCAGTGAAAGTGTGGGAAAGCACATGCTTGAAGCATGCAACAATAATCTGGAGATGGCTGTCACCATGTTTCTGGATGGTGGAGGCATAGCAGAGGAGCCTAGCACCAGTTCTGCAGGAGTGTCTGCTGTTCGACCACACCCTGAGTATGTACCCGCTGAACGTGTCTGTATAAACAAACTCTTCTGTCTTAAGAATTTAATGGCGTAAGGCAGAACAAATAAGACAATTGTCACTTCTAACCTGCTGTCTATTCACTGTAATATGTGTTTCTTTGATGATCTTGTTAAATTGATTGTTCCTGGTAAATAAGTTCTTATTACGTAAGTTGGTGTGTAGACAACATAAGTTAGTCTCTCTTGCATGTACTTCAGAAGTTTTCTGTTTTTTTCAAACAGAGCTCAAGACATTAAAGTGGGGATGGATCCAGTACTAAGAGATTCTCACTTTTCAATTGCTCCAGCCATCTTGATTTATGTTAATTTGGCAGTTAGCGAGTTCTGTTGTTTTGGTTCTTATAAAGGTAGTGACCTTAGTCCTGTTTGTAAGGGTTTTACCGTGTTGTTTTAAGTGTACCCAGATTCGGCACTGGAAAGGCTAGATCATGTACACTAGTACGCAGAGTAATAAGCAGCTACAGAATCTGCATCAGTGTCTTGAACATCAGATGCCAATAAAAGAAAGAGTTGTTCCACTTGAGTATGGCAGAGAGTCTTTCAGTGCTGCCTGTTAATGTGTCTGCTCGGGATAAATGGAATATTTTGAGTGGAAGGTAATTGGTGTAAGTCACATTCATTAAATATTCTAAATGAAACCTAGCCATGCCTTTGTCTGTATGAAAGTCTTCAGGGAAAAGACAGCTAACTTCTAAAGAAAATTCTTGCCGCTCATACTTCTGAAGCACATGTATAAATTTATACAACTGTTTTAGTACTAACCTTTATAGTTGATATCAAGTGCCTTCCTGCTTGAACCTTTGACAGGTGATGAAGTTAAAACTCTGTATCTGTAGGTGTTAGAATTCTTATTTCTAGACAACTTCTGGCACATCAGTGACTTAAGATTCAAGTTTTTATTGGAATACTTTCTTTTTTATACTTGACACCCTCCAGGTGCTGGTCAGCTTAGTGTTACTTCTAGGAAGAGAGAACAATAAATATGCAAATGCAAAATGGAGAATAACTAGCTTCACAACAGCAATCAAAGATGTGGAGGTTAATAGCAAGGTTAGTGCATCTTGCTGACATTATGAGTTACTTTTTGAAACCTGCGTGGCCAAGAGCCACAAACTGCCCCTTTTACAACTTTGAAGAGTCCGAGGGAAGAGGGCGCTTCAGGAGTAGTTCATAGGCAGAATATAGCAATGAACTTCCTCGGGTGAGCCCACACCCTCCTTTGCGTAGATCCATGGGCCAGGTGACCACGCAGAGTAAGTGATCCTATTTCAGAGCCCTTGTGATTTCCTTTTTTCTCCTAGTCATAACTTCAGGTTATCTAGCAGTCTCTGCAAATGTAACTAAGCTGTTGATATGTGAGGGAGCCCAGCTCTGCAAGCAAAGAATTGCTTCAGAAATGGGGGGAAACGGCCATTTTGACCATCTTGGTTTCCTTCCTCTGGAAAAGAAAAGGCTGCGAGTTTCAAGTTGAAGCAAAAAGTCATCCAACAGAGGAAAGCTTGTAATAAGGAAGATAATTTTTTTTTTCCCTCTCTGTAGATAATGAAGGGAGGAGGGTGGCAAGCGGATTAATTTGCAGCCTTTGCTAAGTTTTAAGAAACTTGTCCAAGTTTTATAACAGTTATTAAAGAAGAAAAAAAAATTGTTTGAATAGTAGATTGTCAAAGCCTGGGATCTAGTCACCCAGGGATCTGTGTAATCTTTTGTCAAGACTTAGAAAGGTCATGCATGCCAGATCTTAAATGCAGAGTGTACTAAGTCCTGTTTCAGTGCCATGAGTGGGAATGGATGGTCTCCTGAGGTCCCCGTTGACCCCAAATCTCTTGATTCCGTGCAACAATACAGCACCTTTCTTAGTTGGTTCAAGTTGCAGGAGCCTTTGGAGCACAATGGGATGTGGTTTATATAGTACTTGAAACATTATTGTCTCTGATTTTTTTTTTTTCCCCTCCTCTTTGATAGGGATGAAGTACGAGCTCCAATTCCTCAAAAACAAGAAATCTTAGTAGAGCCTGAGCCCTTGTTTGGAGGTAGGCTTGTGTTTTTATTTTGTTGGGTTTTTTTTTGTTTTATTTACTTTGAGATGAGCTAAGTGACAAAAGACAAGCAGAATATGAAGAAAGCGTTGTATGTTTTTTTACTGTTTTTTTTCCCTGCTACAACTCTACTCCCATGTAATGTGATTGCATACTTTGAAATACACCGGTGTTATTAAAAACCTCGCACATTAGAGATGCTGCAATCCCAGTGGTACCAATTTGCTAACTCCAGTTTCATGAGACTTTGAGGCAACAGCCAATTAGCTATGATGAGTATACGTCTGTGTTCTGGGATTCAGAACCATATGATATTGCTGTGAAAGTGTTCAAGGTGGTGGGATAAAAGCTTGCGCTTTGACTGACGAGTGAAAATGAAGAGGGCAAATGCATGCTTCTGAGGGAGATGATAGATCAGAAAGAAGTGCTGAACTGTATGATTACTCATTGTTTTCTCCATTGCTCATTTAGGAATTTAATTTGCTCTGTAAATTGTACCATGCAGCTAGTTTTCTTGTTTGTTTTCCAAAGCTGTTTATCACTTTTGCTTTTGAAACATTTCTTTGCTCTAAGGAAGCAGGTGGTAGAAATGCTGTTTTCTTTTGGATGCTTGTCTAAAACACTGTTTAGTACTCATGTAATACAGTAATGTTCTGAATTTCCAAACCTCAATCTCAAACCGTCTTTTCTTAGTGGTTCTTTTACAGCAGCATGGGGGTGGAACTTCAGTAGCAGGACTGGATTACCTGGTGCATTAGCCTCTCCTTTTGTATAGTGTCTGTGTCTGTGTGGAGATCTAAGACTCTCTCTTTTTATGCTTGCCTCCTTTAGCCTTGTGAGGCTCTGTCCTTCTCATGTTGACCAGGCCATTTCTGGCTGTCTGTATGGCTTTTGCCATGTCAAGTGAACTGGGTGTCTTGCCTCTTTTATTGAGGAAAGTATTCAAGTGCACATCTTTAAAGTGGTCTCATACCCATAGGAAATGCTCTTTTCTATTGCTTGGTTCCTGTGCTAGAAGGGAGAAAGAGGCCAAGCTTCAGGTTTACTTTGGAACTGGTTTTCTGTTGATACTTTTTTTCAACATCAGAGAGGCCTTTAGCTGGGATGAGATGTGGTTCCAGAGGAAGATGCCCTGCTGAGGTCTCTCTGAAGACGCTGCACCAGCTTATTCCTCTGGCTTTTTCTTTGTGGCCCCACAGAGTTTTTGACAAAGGTCTGTAGACTCCTATGGGTTCAAGAATCTAAGAAGTGCAGGAGTAAGGTCTGCTGACCCTAGTTCTTGGTCCTGTTCCACCCACCTGTGACACACTGATCTCGGAGGTGCTGTCACTGTCTGCCTTACTGAGGTGATCTATGGATCAGCAATAGCCCGCTGGCACTGTCTCATCCACCAGTGCTAATACACTCACTAATGCACTTCTGTTTATAACATGAAGCAGCCTGACAAGCCAGCTGAAGCTGGAGAGATTTGATCTTTCCAGCTCTAACCTCAAAACAGGGAATGTGCCAGTTTCTGGTTTTAACAGCGTCATGCTGAGGTGGTCCTATGAGCTTGGGTTTTCTTCCAGATGAAGAGATGACCCCATCGATTTGTGCTGTGCCAGATACATGGAACCCATCTTGCACTACAAAGGATATCGGAAAAACCTCAATCTGGATGGCTGTGAACACCTTCACCAGACTGCTAGGCTGTAGCCAAGCCTGGCAAGGGAAATGCTGCTTTTGCTGAAGTGGTCCTTCAGTTGCTATTCTTAGCTGCAGTTTAGGTTGCTCTGAAGTTGGCTTTAATGGGTTGTGCTTGTGCCTAAGCATTTAGAGGTGAAAGATGTTACTTATTGGAGTTAGAGAGGCGTTATTCGTAAGCATGTTCCTCATTCAGGCTTACTTTCTTTTCTGTGATATTCTGTATGGGATACGCTGATTCTTTCTTTGGTACTCTGTCCCAGAAGAATGCAAGGAACAAGAACTGTGTACCGTCTTTTGCCCTTGGTGTGGCATAAGGTGAAAGATGAAAGATGCTGCATGCGCTATGGGTGCAAAACCAGAAAGAAAAATCAAATTTTAGAGGTACTTGCTTTGTGAACCTGTGTGGAGGTCGTGCTTTCTCACCATAAATAATTTTTCTTATAACAGGTTTCTGGTGGGTATATGTTGTATTTAGATTACTTTGTTTAATTTATTATTTATCGTGTCTTGTAACAACTAGGCTTTTAAAGTTCTATCTTAAAATTGTTCTGCTTTCAGTTAATAGTAATGCAGATTAATAGTTGGAATAAGTCTTGGCAGGCAGTTTTGTTTTGCATCTGAAGTACAGTGGTTGTGCTGTACCGTAGGACTTCAGTGGTACTTTTAGGTACTATTCCAGTTATCTGCCTGAGCCACTGTCTGCGCATGATCTGTTCTGAATGTTTCCTTGCAGATAGTGGCACTGAATCCAGTGGAAGAGCTTGGCTGTTGCCAGTCCAGCCAAGAAACTGGGATAGGATCTGGATAACAGATTAGAAAAGAAGAGAAACGCATTGTGGGAAAACAAAATGTGTTTCCTAATAAAGAAAGTATTCTCCCATGGGGTTTAATCTTTTGAAGTTTTTAATCTACTTGAAGGTCTTTTGTAAAAATCTTGACTGGAATTGTGGTATGTTGATGCTGTGACAGCACTTCCACTACATACTGATGGGCCTGGGCGAGCCCATCAGAAAGGGCAAACTTTAAACTTATATGTATCATTGATACGTGTTTTGTTTCTGGGGTAAGGCTTGCTGGAAGGAAATGCGTCTTATAGATTACCCATTTCCATCCTCCTCCAGCCCTTCCTAATGACTATACTCCCACATCATTCATGCTTTGTGTTCCTATTCTGTTGTCCCACACATGTGATGGAAAGTACTAATACGTAATTATTTTGATAGCATACTTTTGAAATAATTAATGAAATACTTTTTTTTCCCCTAAGCTCCTAAAAGACGCAGACCTGCGCGCTCAATATTTGATGGTTTTCGGGATTTTCAAACAGAAACCAGTAAGTGTCTAACAGATCAGTAAGCTAGAGGTTCTATTTTTTTTTTTTTTTTTTTACAAGTAAGATTGAAAAATACTTTCCATGCCTGCTGTATAGCAGAAGGGTTGGGTTTTTTTTAATGACATTATTAGGCTGTTCATTTTTGTAGTGTCAGTACTGTTTGCTTACACGTCTGTTCCATGTTTGTGGTACAGTTAAGGTTGTTAGTTTATTGTTCTGGGGTGGCTGAAGGGAAAGTACTGAATAATGGACACATGAAGCAGGTAGTGAAGATGCTGGTCCAAACACTTAACTGTGTAACATAAGTAAAGCCTGCAGATGGTATATTCTGTCTGCTTTTGTATGGCAAATACTACCCTGATAACTCTCAAAAAAATTCTTTTTCTGCTCTAGAGGGAATTGAAAGGGGAGAAGAATCTAATACCCATGTAGAAATTAAGTTCATATGCTGAATTCTTCTTGACTAGCCAGTGGTCATGCTGGCACTTGAATTATATTGAGTAGCCCTGAGACTTCTTCCTTGCCCGCACACAAGGTTCTCATAAATTTAATTGCTGTTTACCACTGTCATTGTGTTCATATGCAGAATCTCCAAATGACAAAGCATTGGCTGTTATTTAAGCCATTAAGTTTTATAGAATATAAATATATTTATTTGACAGCAGATGTTTCACAGTTGAGTTAGAGGTGTTGTGCAGTTGTTATGGCTGATGTTGCTGGAGTATTTAAGAGGTCTCACCATGGCCCAGATTCCCATATAGTTAGGTACTGTTGGGTGCTGAATTGGAAATGAATATTCAGAATTACTTTCTTTACCCTGATAGGTTTTGTCAGGGTTTTCCAGCTGTGTAAATGAAAATACACCATTTACAGAATCATCATACCCTTAATTTTTTTCTCATCATCTCTCCATTTTGTTATAAGACATTTAGATATCCACAATATATAAAACTACTGTGAGGGTTTGTGATGAAACTTTATAATGCTTTTTGGTAAAACTTCATTGATGAATATCACTGGCTATCTCTGAAAAAGCAGCCCTGGACATGAAAGTCATGATTATTTCCTGGCTCCTGGGCCTGCTCCACAGGGATGGTTTTTTTCCCGTTGGGGATCCAATGTCTGCTTGTATACTATGGCCATTGACAGTTCCTTTCACCACTGGAAAGTTTTTGGTCATGGGGTGGTTATTCCCCATTTCAGCTGACTTGGTTCCATAAAATACGTCATATCACTACATTTTTAGGTAAGCAATTGCTGTGATTTATCGTATATGATCATGTGTATGTAGGAAATACATTCTGTATTATTTTGAATGGAATTGATACCACTAAAAGAAACCTGCGCAAAGCATGGTACTTGAGGATAAACAAGCCTGAAAACCTGTTTGCCTGAAAGAGACAGTGGTATCCTGAGTTGATTGTGGGAAGAGTAGATCTTTAATGTAAACATCCAAAGATAGTTCTCCTTATAAACTAAGTCTGTTTTGTTTTTTCTTTTTCCTTTTCTGTGGAATTGCTTTACAGTCAAGAAATAGAAAAACTGAAATAGAAGTATTCCCAGTAAAAGTTACATGCTACAATCTGGCTCAGTTTCCCCTTTTAAAAGCATCACTGAGGACAAGTCACGGCTTTTTTTTGCTCTTTTATTTTCAAATACCAGCATATGACCCTCTCTGCTGATACCTTTATTAAGGTGTTTCTTAAAAGTGATTTAAATGCCCAGTGCTTGAAAAAACGAGGGCAAGCAGGGTTCTTGCCTTGCATTGCAGCTGATCTTGTTCAGTGTGGTCTAACCTTGTGACTCCAGTGCTGAAGTTTTGTGTATGAGCATATAGTCAATAATAAAGCCGTCTGCTGAGTATTTTGTCTAATTCAGCTTCCTTTCCTCTTGGGGCTGTGCAGTTCGACAGGAACAGGAGCTACGAAATGGAGGGGCAGTAGATAAGAAACTCACTACTCTAGCGGACCTCTTCAGGCCTCCCATTGATCTGATGCACAAAGGCAGCTTTGAAACGGTAAGTTTTGAAATTTTGGTGCAGTTCCTTCTGTGATGACTGTGGACAGCCTTGTGTTAGGCTGCTGGCATGTGTGGATCTGTTTGTCCAGATGATCAGAAAGTTACAAAGGACCCTACAGTGATAAATATTAGATCGACTGCATATGGAAATGTTGATGACTTAGTGATGGATTTAACTAAAGACCACATTGTTTATGTTTCAGTGTCACTGTGGCAAATCGCACTTGGTGAATAGTGCTAATGGCTAGGTGGTTTCTGATACCTGAGCTAGTAAAAGTATTTGTGTGTGTCTTGGTCCTGAAGGTACAACTTTATCTTTAGTAGAGGTCTTGCTCTTCTATGAAATCACAGCAGTTGTCCCGTGCATCTGGTAGTGACGGAAAAAGTATCCAAGACGTTGTCTGCCTGAGAAGGGGCCTGCGAGCTTTAAATAATTTCAGGTGTCACCTTTTCTGTCTGTGTAGGCTTGCATAGTTCTTGTCATAATATGTTATGATATAGATCAGTCACTAACTAGTGATTAAAGAATAGGCATATATTTTTATTTTTTCAGAAGTTGCAGTTACTACTGAACTTCCACCTGGTCGTTGTTAAGTAGCTGAGATTGATTACTCTTATATGATGATTTCATGAGAATGCAAACTAATGATCAAATGGTGCAATACAGATGCTGCAAACAGTGCTGGAGATCTGACTCCATGAGCTGAACAAAAATATTATTTACGTTCTTTTCACATTTGCCTCTACTGCCATGCATGAATACCAGAACATTGCTGGAGAAGGTTTGGAGAAGTGCTGGGTGCCTTTACTGAGTCTCCAGCTCTCATCCTGCTGGCCTCATCTCTCTTTTTATGTTTCCCACATCACCAGGGATCAGTTGGCTCGTCACTAATTCCTGTGTTCTGACAGTGCCCTCCATGTATTTAATATTCTAACAAGATTCCGGGTTTGAAAGGATTTTGACGGAGGGTAGCCATGTCCACCTCAGTAAGTAATTAGCTGCAGTGGACGCAGATGAGCAGACTGAATTAGCGGGTGCTGAGGCATCCCTGCCTTGTGACATGTGGTTCAGGGTTTAAAGTTGTGCCAGATCCTCCCACTGATGATACCTACTGGGCCTGTGGTTCAGAGCAAATGTGTGGTTGAAGGCAACAGTAAAGGGAATTCGCATGAAAACAGCCAGTGCTGCTCCAGACTGGGACATAGACAGCCAGCGAATGCTCTCTGACCTCTGGTGTGGAATTTGAGAGCTATGCTAGTCTTTCCTCCTGCCTCGCTGAAAACATACCAAGACTTTAGCAATGTTGCTTGTGGCATCCTCTACAGCCAAAAGTAGTTTCAGAGGATGAAATAACTGATTGATAGATTTGATTGTCCTAAGGTCTCTGCATTCTTATTCAGTCTTGTAAATTAAAAAAAAAAAAACAAACCAAAAACAAATGGCGGGGGGGGGTTTGCATAGACACACCTTGTCCTGTTCTTTGCAGCAACTCAAATTTAAAGACATACACACTTCTGGTATTGGTATTTACCTTTTTGTGTTCTTGTACAGTTTCTTGTCCCATGGGGTACCCTTCATTTCAAACTGACGGTCCTCAACTCCATTACAATAAAAATCTTCAGCTTCTCAATTTGTTTTACCTTCTATGACTGTAGGCTGCTGTACTGCTTCAGCCTTGGGACAGTGTTGGACCTTCTGTGAATCGGGTGACAAGAGTCTCCCAAAATTCATCTCTGGAAGCTGCTGTTAGCATCTGCCTTCTCTGTATACTTAGATAAACATATATAAACTATATAATAAATCAGAGATGTTTATCACATTCCAAAGTACCAAAGACTAAATACTGTCACTTTGATGCTCTGGTAGTTCAGTGTCAATCTAAGTGGGGTTTTCTTATTATTAATGGTGTGGGGTGTGTTCTAACCTCTGGAGGGGCGTGCAAGAACATTCTGCTAGTGTTGTGCTATGTACATTTATCATAGAATCATTTAGGATTTATTACTTTATTCAAACTTAGGAAGAGTGGTGGTGTCTGGTCTTACTAAGATTTTCACCTATCTCTGTTGCTTATCTTTGGGAACTCTAAGGTTGATTTTGATAGTAAGTAGATTTAGTTATCTCTGGTTTTCACCAAGAAACCTCATTTTTCTTCAATTACAAAGAGACTTTATTATCAGTAAGGAACAGAAAATTGCCATTTAATTTTAACTCAGTAATACTAGCTTTTAAGAGTAATTGAGAATTAACTTTCACTGAAGAGAAATTTTCAAGTGTTGAATGACAATTTTTTTTTTAATCTGTGAAAAAGCATTGTGCTTCACATACAGAACAACACATGATCACTATACTTATAAAGCGAGGTGTGTGTGATTAACTTAATTACACAGTAGAAATGTGGTGAAAAAGATTTGATACAAAAAAATCTGTAAAAGATTTTATTTTAATTCTGCAGGCCTTTTGGACATGGTGGCTGAGCCACTAGATGTTAGTTACCTAGTGGCTGGTGGAATGGGGCAATATAAACCAGAGGCAAATGAGTGATGCGGCAACGAGATTTTAACCTGACCTGCCTTTTTTTTTTTTCTTACTAGAAAATTTCAGAGAAACTTTCAGAGCTTAAATACACAGTATCACTAAAAAGTCTGTGTTTGAGGAGTGTTGCATGGTTATGTGATTAGGCTGTTAAGAGTCAGTTAAGATTGCACAAGGGATTTTTAACCGTCGTTTCCTGATTCTAATATTGAGCTTTAATGTGTATTAAGCTTCAGCGGTATCTCCTTAATGTGGAATCTGCTAGGAATAAATCGCTAGAGTATAATAAATACAAAGCATGCTTGGTGTGTAATTTATTTAAAGAACAGCTTAGTTTTGTTCTAATGTCAAAGACTGCTTTCCACAATTGCATAGGTATTCATCTCTTCATGCGTATGATGTGAGGTATGATTTAATATGGGGGGGTACACACCAAATTGACTTAGTTTATGCTTGTTTAGGAAGGAGATAATTCTGGCTGGTGCAGTTCTATGCGTAACACTCCTTAGGATTTCAGTACTTCTGTGGAGTGACTGGATGTTGCAGAGTTTCAGGTCTGTCTATATGAAATTTCCTTGTTTTACAGGTTAAACCTTTTTTAGCTTCTCCCTGCTTTACAGCTGATACTGATATTTTTTTTCTTTGTATGTAGCAAGGAGCAATAGTTTGGAAGCTAATCTAGTCATTGCACTTAAATGGTGCGATTATCTTTGCATAAAGTGCTTTCAGAGTGGCTGTTTGCATAAGCGTAGCCTGCAGATGCATCTTTGGCACAGGAATGGCTGGTTGATGAAAGGATGTATGTCCTGTCCTGCTCTGGCCCAGGCAAGAAGTGTAAGTCCAGCACAGATAGGATATTTCTTGTTAGATAAACTCGTCCTCTGACTTTCTGTCACCTGTTATCTTCCAAACTGAATCATGCTTGATTAGCAGATGTCCAGAAGGTCACAAGATGCTGGTTCCACTTCCTTGTTTCTTTCCACTGACTTAAAGGAGCAGTGCATTTCAACAAAGCTGAGCAAGGAAAAACCACCACAAAATTTGTAAACCATACATGGCTCAGAAAAGTCAAATGAGAGGAAAACATGTTCTTATTAGTAGCGCAAGAGCTAGAGGTTATCTGTGGAGATCCAGTGCTGAGTGTAAAACAAGACTACTTTCATGTACTGTCTAACCAGATTGGTGATTTGTTGCTATAAGTTGTCATAGTGATGAAAAATGTGAATGGGTAGAAAAGGGAAAGGTAAACTTAAATCCATTAGATCCATTTGGTTTTGCTTTGGTTTTGCATCTGGCCAGTTGTATCTGAGATCCACTGCCTCTGTCTTTGAAAGTTCCAACTCTGCTGATTGCTGAAAGCTTGAACAGAGATGCTTGCAAGGGGCAGTTGTTCGGTACTTACCCTGTCTGTGTGTTCTTTAAGTGCCTGCTGCTGGCCTTTATACCTCGAAGGAGGAGAAGAAATGGGGGGCAGTTGATGTTGGAAACAGTGGATCTGACACCATCAGACATAGCTTTTGGGATACACAAGCCAGCTCTTCAGCCTTCCCTTGCTCTTTTTGTTACTTACCAAAATGACCTACCAATATACTCTCCAAACCCACAGTGTTTCTTCCCCGACACTGTTCTCCTTCCACCCACCTCCACTCCCTCAGAAAAACCCCAGCAGCTGCTGCATAGGAGCGGAGTTGTGTGTGTGTGAGATGGTAGCATTTTAACTGTGTCCTTTTTAAATGTTAAATGTGAAGCCTATTGTTTTTAGAAGGAAGTTAAAAGTAGTTTCAAAAGCTATACCTGCTCTACAGGTGAAAAGTCATCTTTGCAAATGTTCTGTGTGGAATTCCCTGCTTGCATCCTTTCGAGGACCTTAGCTGGATGGAGGAGAGGTAGACCCAGGTTTTCACTAATACTGAAAAATAAAGTAAGTGTAGCAGCATTAGATGCCCTTTCCAGCTTTCTAGTTATATATTTTTGAGTTTGTTCTTTTAATCCAATGTGGATTACATTAGAATACAGGACTAAGGCAGTCCAATTGACTCAAATAACAGAAGGATTTTTGTTCCCTTTAATCTTGGGCAGTACCTCTAGACCTCATTTTAAACTGATTTCCTAGAATTAGTTCTCAAAATCCACAGCTAGCTGAAAACAAAGGCTTTTAAACAAAAGCATAATGACTATATTTAAGACCCTTACCAGTTACTTAGTTGTCACTTGCCCCACTTTTCTCTCTTGGTGACCAAATACTGTATTCTGACACTGTAATGTTAGTGGTAAGTAGTTAGTGTGAGGTCCTTTGCGAGAATAGGAGGACTATTCCATGTGTCTACATTAATTTTTTTTTTTTCCTTTGAGTAAAATAAAAATTGGCTCTGCAGGTGACTTGGCCATGCAGATTAATTTTGTAGACTGAGATTCTTCACTTGGTGAAGCTAAATGTGTGGGGTTCGCGTCTGTCTATCACACATTGGATAGACTGACTATTTGAAAGTGCACTGGCTAAAAATTGGTTTAGAATTAAAAAATTTGATTTGAGGAGCAAACTATTGCCCAAAACAGCAAAATCTTGCATAACATCCTAATTCCTTGAATTTGCTGTTAAGTGCATTGCCAGCAGGATGGTGAACACGCTTATAAATAAATACCTTTTTTCTTTTTCAAAAGGAAAGGGAGTTCATATGCTAGTTCCGGTCTTTCCGGGTGGTAAGAGCTTTCCTGCTGTTGATATAGTTTTTAGGTATGACAGTTCAGCGATCAGAATTACATTCTTGATCAAACTCCTACCATTAACTTGCCACCAAGCAATCAGACAATGCCAGCTTTGTGACTCAAACCAGTAAGATTTCTTCCTGCGCCTTCCCGTCTTCCTCCCCACTCGCAGTCTGGATAATGAGCATCAAAAAAGGATGCCTAATTTGGCAGTTGTACAGTAATAGAGTAACTCAAAACTTGGAGAGAAAAAAGAAAATGCGCAGAGAGGGGGTCCTGTTGAATTGATGCAAGTCCTCTGTCAGTTATGCTATATACTTAAATAGAAGATGATCCACAGGTTTATCTTTAGAATGAGCAGGTCTTTCCTCTGTTGTCAGATCAGTGTGATTGACTACAGTCTTCCCCGAACAAATACTTTATTCAGCGTCCCTGTGTCATGTCCCCTCCCCCTCGTCAAATTGCTTTTCCCACTCTGTGCTTGACTTGTTGAAATCCGGTAGCTCTGTTCATCGATGTGATTCTGTAATCCAACCAGTCTCATTTAAAGCAGGTGTTTCAGCCCTGCCTTCTGTTTTGTGGATGCCTTTTCACTAGCACTGTCCATCTCTCTCACTGTGAAGGGGTTTTGGTGAAAAATCTGACAGTGTTAGAAGCCATCACTGATCGTTGCTGGCATTGGTTAAGTCTGGCTCTTCAGCTCTATCTAATGAAGCTTTTCTCTCTGCTTACAGGCCAAGGAGTGTGGTCAGATGCAGAACAAATGGCTCATGATAAACATTCAGAATGTGCAAGATTTTGCCTGTCAGTGTCTCAACCGCGATGTCTGGAGCAATGAGGCCGTGAAGAACATAATCCGGGAACATTTCATTTTTTGGCAGGTAGGAAATTTAATGGGTCTGTGCCGATAACTTGGTGTCCTGGTAGATGGGGCAGTGAAAACTCTGGACTTCTTTGAATAAAATGGCACTGTTGCAGTTCTTTTGGTGAACTTGCAGAAAAGATGCAATAGTTCTTGGAGTTGTAGTTTATGGAGATAAATGTCATTTATCTATAGCCATTTAAATGCATAAACTGTCTTTCCCTTGTGCGTTCAAGATGTTACCAGATAGCTTCTAATACATCGTCTTGAGAGGCGTATTTTCAGCTTGTGAGTTACTGAGAACTGTACATACTGTAAAATAGAGAAAAAACTTTGTACGTTTTCAAGGTAGGGTTTGTTCGTGTTCCCTCTCCACCCAGTAATTTGTTTCCACTGTGGTGTTTTGTAGGTATACCACGACAGTGAGGAAGGACAGAGGTACATACAGTTTTATAAATTAGCAGACTTCCCTTATGTCTCCATCCTGGATCCCAGGACAGGTAAGATAAGTGATAATTGGTTACCTGCAGTTTATATATCCAGTAAGAAGGACTGGCAGTTTTAGGCTAGAATACTGTCTTTCACAGTATGTGTTACATTCACCTGAAGAATCTCAGTTACATTGTTTTACTCTCTGAGAGCACCTTGTTGTCCTAAAGAAGTGAAGCAATATGTTTTGGAGGAACGAAGGGGATAAAACTCCTGAGGCTTGCTGAAATTTTGGGTATTTGGTTATCGTACTTGGTATAGTTTAGCAAGTACTTTGCTTGGAAAGGGAAGACTACCACCTGGTGGTAAAACTCTGAAATGCATTTTTTTAAGTGTAAAAGGTACTTGAAATCGTGATGAGTAAACTGCAATAGTTGTAAGCATTACATGAATCTACTTCTTGCTCCGTGCACAGTAGCTTTGTGAGGCTCAGAGATGACTTATTAAATTGCATGTTAATTTTCAAAGCCCGCTTTGGCTTTGTTGTTTTTTTTTTTGTTGTTGTTGGGTTGTTTGGTTTTTTTTAACTGAAGACTCAAACTTCTGCATCCCCTTCCAGGTCTTTTGAAATTGTTATTTTTTCTTCTGTATCCCAACACCCTTTATTCTTTTATAATCATATAATGCCACTGTATTAATTGTCTGGTCTCCTGCTTCTCAGAACTGAAGTAATGGTGTCTGTAATCAGAGCTGAGATTTCTTGCTGTGTGACTTAAACCACCCAAAACCATTTTTTTTTTTTTTTTAATGTTGAAACTGAAGTTAGAGTGCACTTATTAGCACTTCACTTGTGGAAACAAATGCTGTTTGCCAAGGTGTAGAATCAAAGCAGGTGAGAATATAGAAATGCTTTTTCGTAAACTTAGTAGTTCAGCATTTTTTCCTTTTGATGCCCAATTCACCATTCTGTGCACACATTCCCACAGATAAAAAGAAAAGAACAGAAATAAACAGGGTCTGTATTTATATCTGTCCATGATTGAAACCTTTTCAAGGGGTTGGAAGGAGGAAGCTTCATAATTATCAGGTGGTAGCCTGTAGGAAGCTGCGGATCCGCAAACACGGACTCTTGCAGAGGGCATGCACAGTAGTGAGCTGGTGTGTTTGACGCTGCAATCTTTTGCTGAAATTACGTTTCATGACACCATTTGTTCCCTAGGCCAGAAACTAGTGGAGTGGCACCAGCTAGATGTGACTTCTTTCTTGGACCAAGTGACTGGGTTCCTGAGTGAGCATGGACAGCTGGATGGCCATTCTACTAGCCCTCCCCAAAAATGCTCTCGTTCAGTAAGTATGAGGCCCTCTAGGAGAACTGGAGAAAACTGAAAGAAAATGCTAGCCTGGCTTTATCCTGCCGTACTGATTTCCCATGCAGTAGTACAAAGAGACTTAATGAGTTAGTGCAAGAGCGTGCAAAAATACAGTGCACCAGGGAATACCTTCTCCCACAATAACTATTTTTGTTGTGCAGTTTGTGCTTTTGGCATTTGTTTTGGATTTAGCAGTCGCAGAATTGTGCACACGTGGAAGGAAGAGATACCACTCCATGTGAAACTCCAAGGAGAAGTCATTAAGTAGCCGTAGCCTGACTAGCTTTCTGTGGTGTTTGTTCCTGATATTTTTATTAGCTTCTCTTTGGAAGACTGATGTCCTCTTCATTTTCAGTACGTATTTAAAACCAATTTTTATGTATTTATGCTATGTCTGTATTCAACAGGAGAGTCTCATTGATGCCAGTGAGGACAGCCAGTTGGAAGCTGCTATCAGAGCCTCGTTACAGGAGACGCATTTTGATTCCTCACAGGCCAAGCAGGAGAGTCGGTCAGATGAGGAGTCAGAGTCAGAGCTTTTTTCTGGAAGCGAAGAGTTTATTTCAGTTTGCGGATCTGAGGAGGAGGAGGAATCGGAGAATCCTGCCAAGTTGAGGAAGTCTCCGCACAAGGACTTGGGGTATAAAAAAGAGGAGAGCCGGAGGCCTCAGCCTGAGCCCTCTGCAAGGACTGAGCCTGGGACAACATCAAATCACAGAGTACTGCCTTGCATTGATGCCGGGATACTGGAGGAGTCAACTGACAAGCCTGAAAGTACATTTCAGGGCTTAGATGTGAATGGTAAGTTGCCACTTTTTTTTTAATAGTGACCTGTGGTTTGGGTGTTTTTCCTGAAAATCTTTATAGGCTGAAAGCATGGTTTCATCCCTGGTTTCGAAAAGCTAAATCTTTTCTTCACTCGTACTCCCTCCTTGACACCAGACGTTTGAACGATTCACCTTGCCAGCTGCACCACTTTGGCATAGTGATGCCACAAACTGCAGAGTTGTGTTAGTCACTGAGCTCAAGTTTTGTAGTTTCTTGTCCATGAATAAAATATGCATTGGTGTAACGCAGGTGCATGTGACAGGGCATGCAAGAAGTCATTACTTTTCTTCTCTCTACCACTATGGTAGAGAGAAGCAGAACAACATCAGCCCCACCTCGTGCTTGGTTAGCTTGGCTGCCTTGATGGTCTGCACTGAGTTTTAGTAATGCAACTTTCACTAATACAAATGAGTCCCCGGAGGCTCTGTTCCTCCCTGCGGTGCCTGAGGTGGGACGCAGCAGAGTGAGGTGGTCTCAGAGGCAGAGGTAGCACAGTGTGCTTTTCTCTGGGAACGCTGACTGTTTTCAGTCGCTACTATTAACTTTTGAAAGAGTCCTGAGTTTGGTGTGTGTATTGTAAACATGTGGTAGAAGTATGTATCTTCATTGACTGGAACCTTGTATTTGTCTCTGGTCCCTAACCCCACTATGCTGTACAGTAAAGCGTGCCACCTAAAATCTACAGAAGAGCTCAATTCAGCTGCCTTGTTGTTTGTTAACTTGTAGTAACTTCCTTTATGCTAGGACCAAAGGCACAGCTGATGCTAAGGTATCCAGATGGGAAGAGGGAACAAATTTCACTGCCCGAACAAGCTAAACTTCTGGTGAGTGGAGTTAATCAGAATCCTTCTTTTAATACAGGAAACCGGAGAATTTCTTTTCCTGTGGTGGCACTATTGAAATAGGATCTAGTGAAAGTGGTATATCCAAGGAGCACTTGCATTGTCATTTTGTTGTGTTTCTTCTGTGTCATTCCTCTCTTTGATCAACAGACTCTGCTGGATCCTGTGTGTTTCCATTGCTGCTTGGGTTGTGTGTACGCTCCAGTGTCTTCCTTAGTCCCAAAACTGCTAGTTTCCTTTCTAAAATTACTCTAAATGGCTTTTGCATTAATCATTAAATTACCGTAAAATACTCTCAGCTCACTCGTTTATGGTTGGCTTTGTTTTTTTCTAAATGGAAAGGTTCAGTCGTTGCCCGTGGTCAGACAATGGTAAAATCAAAGGCAAAACTCTTCATTCTTGTTCTCGATCTCTTTCACCGTACTTCCCCGCTCCCTTCTGGATGTGGATGACAGAGCAGACTTTGGAGGAAGTTCTCCCAAAATTAATTTTTTATAATATTATTTAATTACTGTGCTTCAGGCGTGCGTCTCAACTGTGCTTTGGGTGTTAGCCGTGAGTTTTCATGACACGGTGTCCAGTTAAGCTAATTTTAGTGAAATCCACCTAAAAGCTCTGTATGAAGTCTTAGGGAAGGCAAAAGCACACCTCTTCAGAAGGATCTCATGTAGATTTAGAAGTGTCACAAGTGTCACATCTCTTACACAAAATGAGACTATAACCTAGTCTGCAGCGCTCTAGGAGTGTACAGTGCCTCAAGCTCATGTTCTTATCCTTAACCCTTTTGCTTGAAAATAAAAGGGGGAAAAAAACCCCTTGCTTTTGTTATACCATCAGTGCTCTCAAAACCAAGGGTAAGTAGGTAGGATGTAGACTGCCTGCAGTACTACACGTGGAGTCCTGGGGCTGAAATGTAAAAACCGAGGAACACTGGCAGAACGCAGCTCTTACTGTAGGAATCGGCTTTACTTCCAGACCTTCATTGCTTTGTCACAGCAGTCATTGGTGTGTAATGTTTTTCCAAGTACTCTTTTATATCTTAACTGCTTTTTGAAAGCAGTGTGTTAAATAAAGTTGTATGATTAAACATACAGCACTTTTGAATACTTAATTAGTTTAAGGTGTTATTAATTAGTTTATTTAAGTGATATATAGGTGTAATATCTATGTATTCCTGATAATCCTGACTTCTAGTTTGACTCCTTTTATGGATTGCAGTAGTTAAGGGAAGTTAATATCGGCATGTGATTTCCTTTACTGCCGCCTGCTCTACAGTCAGCAGAGCAATTTAGGTGAGTCAAGGTTTGTGGGCAAAGATAAGGTTTTGCTGCAGAGCTGAACAGGCACCTTTTGTGCTCATGTCATGTGATCTTTTTAAGCCATTTCGGTCAGATCAAGATTGAGTCTCAGGTGTTTCTTTGTGAGCATTTTTCAGCCCTTAGTTGCTTTAAGCTGTCCAGAACTATAATAAGAAATTGTTTAAGGAGACAGTTGCACTTCAGAAGTTTTAACTGATGATACAATGCTGCTCTCCCACCAACGCTAGCTGTTTTTAAAAACAGTTTTTTAAATCATTGCATTGTTATCAATCAAGAGTGGCTTCTTTACACACTGTTATCTCCAGGATGTGCTCATGCTTCCAGTATTATCATAATCCTTTTTTTCCACCAGGCAAAAAAAAAAAAAGCAACACTGTCTTTTTATAGAAGCAATTCCTCATTGCAGATAATCAAGTAGCTGACTTCACTCTGTTCGGCAGCTCAGCCCTTGGTCTGCATTGCTGCCTGGTAGCCTGAGTAACTTGTTGTCTACCAAGTGTTGTATGGCCTTTAAATGGGACAGGGGGAAGATGTGGGCAGTAAACTTAACTGGATTTTTAAACACAGTGGTTTGTAAAGGACTTCTGATCGTCCTTGTTACCTGAAAAGGAAGTCACACCCACTTGCTCGCATTCCTCGTCAGACACAGGCATTGTGCTCTGCAAAGCCTGTCGAAGAACAGTCCAGGTAAAAGAGGAGGTTGGGGCAACAGTCTCCTCATACCAAAGGTTTGTGTGTGGATTTTGATGAATTTAGAAGAAGTTTCTATGCTAGTACTTCCCTGGCTGTTCTGCAGTCATCAAATCGTGGAAATGTCCAGGTTGAAAAAGGTCCCTGGAGATCATCTGGCCTAACCCTCTGTTGAAAGCAGGGCTGTAGATGAGGTTATCCGGGGCCCCCTCAAGCTGGATTTAGAGTACTTCCAGCAAGTGATGTTCCACCACTTCTCTGGGCAACTTACTCCAAAGTTTCTCACACGGTAATTATTTCCATCCTTCCTTACATTCAGATGAAATTTCCTCTGGAGCAACTTGTGTGTGTTGTCTTTTGTCACTGTGCATCTTTGTGAAAGAAAGGCCTTTATCTTCTCTGCACTGGAACACTGTGATGATATTCCCACAGCCTTTTCCTTTCCAGGCTGAACAATCCAAGTCCTTGAGCCTTTCTTCATGTACCGAGGCATGTCCTATACTCTAGGCATTTTGATGGCTCTCCACTGGATTCTCTCCAGTTTTCCTTGTCTCTCTTGGATGCAGAGACCAAAACTGAACATAGTATTCCAAGTGTGGCCCAGCAGAGTGGTGTATTCATACCCCTTGATCTGCTGGCAATACCCTTGTTGATGCAGTTCAGGTTTGCTGTAGCCACTGCTAGGGTGCACTGCAGACACATTTTGAGCTTTCTTGATGAGTTTTGACAGTCTCTACATGACACCCTGGACCTTGGCAAGCAGCAGGCTTCCAAGACTCAGAGTTACGTCAGCAGTTGGTTGCTTCAGTCCCCTGCAGGAGTCCCCTCCACCAGCATGCATGGCTTTTCCTTGCTGGTTTTGACCTACTGAGTAGGACCAGTGGGTAGAGTTGTGTCTTCCAGTGGAACTTGTTTGTCCTCTCCATTTATTGCCAAGACTTTATATTGTTTTTTCAACTGATTTTTTTTTTTTTCTCCAAGTGAGGAGAGCAGTGTTTTGTGGCCGCAGGTCTCCAGGTTGCCTTATCTTGCAAGTTGCTGTCCTGCCTGTCTGTGTGTCTTGCTTCTGGTGATCCCATTCTGTCTGCACCACAAAGCCTGAGTTCTTGCCCTTGCAATGTTGCTGCCAGCATCCCACTGCTTTCCTCCTCATCTTCCTTGATCAGCAGAACAATCTGACCTCTTCCTGCAACCCCTTGACCTCACGCTCCATCTACATTGGTGCCCCTGAAACATTAGGAAGGGTGCTGCGGGCTGTTGTGGGAAACCACGTCCTGTGTCGTGTCAGCACCGTGTGACCGACAGCTTCCCTACCAGAACATGAACAACAAAGTGAGCAGCCACCCAAGTGATCTCCTGAGCCCCTTGCCTGTGAGCTGTGGCAGTAACTGCCAAGTGCTGGTTTGCAACTACTTTTTCCTGTGTGCTGGGTTGCTCTGGTGCCGAAGGGGCAGCTACGTCGTGAGGGAAAGCTAGTGGAATCATTGGTACTAGTAGAAGCTTAATGCTGTTAGCTTACCTTTCCACTTCATTTACTGGCATAAGGCTGCCCACCAAAACTATGTGAACAGTATTGTTGGGACCCCCTTATTTTTTCATCTTTCTCTTTTATTACATACTGATTGTCTTTTTTCCCCTCTTAAAAAAAGCTATGACTTTTCATTCTGCCCAGGTCTTGCTCTGTTGCTGTATCCCCTACTGTTCTGCCAATCTCCATTGCTCTATCCCTGTCTGTTCGTACTTTATGATCTCATCTGCTGTGTTTCCTGATAAACTGAGGAAATGTCTCTCATCGTAGCATGGACGTTAGCTCTTCCTAATACATCTGCCTCTTGGGTTGCGAGGCTGATATCCCTTCATCCCAGTGCCCTCTGTATCCTGCCCCAATTGCTGTTGTAGTCAGAGAAGTCAATGAGTTGAAAAGAGCTTTAAAAAACAAAACAACCCCAAAACCTTGTGCTTCTTGAAGGCAGGAAAAAATTACAATTTTTAGTAAAAATACTGCATTTATTTTTTTCAATGTTACCTGACAAAAACACTTCTTTGGTGGCTTTTAGGTTTAATGTAAGGGTAATATCTGATGAACAAGTGAGGAGGCTTCTGTTTTGGGGCACTTAGGATTTTTATTTTTATTTTTTTTTTGCAAATCTTATTTTACTGTGCTTTGAATGTGTGATGGGGAGTTCTGCTCCCTTGAATTAACGTACTATTATGTATGTCTTCCCTCTGTTTAAAGAATCAGTTAGGCAAGGGATCACTTGGTAATTGCTTTTTTATGATTATTCATACCATGTGTGGGCCAAATTAGATATTAAAGTAAAAGAGGGTTTATACTATATGCAAAATTTCCTTTGTCTGTGGTTACAAACTTCTTTTAAAGGAAAACTGAATATTTTTGTACAATCTTTTGTGTTGTTTTGAATTATATGACACTTCTTTGCCTTTCTTTCTCTCCAGGCTCTTGTGAAACACGTCCAGTCAAAAGGATACCCCAATGAACGCTTTGAACTTCTCACCAACTTCCCTCGAAGGAAACTCTCCCACCTGGACTATGAGATCACGTTACAGGAGGCAGGCCTGTGTCCTCAAGAGACTGTCTTTGTGCAGGAAAGGAATTAGCACCGTGGCCTGAGTTCTCCCAGCCTTCCTCCCCTCTCCTCTTTGCCTGGGACACCAACTCATTAAATATGCAGTTGAGGGTCATAGGATTGCAGCGCTGAAATCGGGCAGGCAGCCGGCTGGCCCTTCTCTCTCTTCTTCCCTTCTCCTGCTCTAGTGACCAGATGAGAGTGTTCAGAGTTTTATTTTCTTCCTCAGCTTGGGCCCTGCAGAGAGCATTGAGAAGAACATCTTTGCCTTGTTTTCATGGAATAAAGTAGAACGGTGATCTGTGTGTCCAGTATGCTGGGGCTTGGAACGGCCATAGTACACGTACCCTTCTCGCTGCTATTCTTAAATCTGTTTTGTTTAATTTATTTTTGAAAATAGTGTGTGATAAGGCACTGAGTCATCTCTCTGTAAGGAGAGAGTGTAAGCTTCAGTACAGTCTTTCCTTTGTTTTGATTCTCTACACGAAAGGTCTCCATTAACCGTACAGCCTTCTTAAAGGTTCACTTATCTAGCATGCTGTGAAAACTTGGGTTTTGGGAAGGAGTTGGGTTAGGCTGCAGTGAGATGCTTTGCCTCCATCTAATTTAAAGGCTTCTAGATTGCATGCATGTTTTCCTTCTGCTTTACATGCTGCCAGTGGACATAGTAAGAAAAACAACCAACCAAAAATAAAACCCCAGCTACACTCTATATGGGATTGACTGTGTGGCCCAGAGGGAAAGCTGCATGTCCACTGTTGGAGCAGATTTGAGTCCTTGGTAGAAGTAGGTGGAGTTTCCATTTGTTCTCTTCCCAGCATCCCCTAAGTGTCTCCTTTTTACTTGGTCTCAGGATTTTGCAGATGATGATAGAAGGTGGCAGGATATGATGAAGATCTTTAACTCTCTGGAGAACATCCATTGCAAAAACTTGACAGTTAGTTGGCTTTTTTCTTTGCCTGGTGTTGTGTTTTGTTTTGTTTTCACTGGGAGTGACTAGCTTTGCAGGGGTTTTAGAGCATTGACTGCAATTGTGCCAGGACAACAAGTCCTAGGCAGGTTTTCTTTCATTAATTAAAAACATACAGAGCCTTGTCAATCTGTGGAATTAATTAATGCTTTATAAAAGACTTAACAGCCTGGTGGCTTCAGTGCTCTAGGCTGCTTTTTATTCTATTTTCACATTCATCCACCATCACTTAACTCTAAATATGGAAAGCTGCTCCTTTATTTAGGCTTGCTTTTTGGCTCTGGAAGGCGACACCAGAAGTCACGCAGGCATATCCTGTGTGTACACTGGGCTGTACAGTGTGCCCTGTTTTCCCAGTGTCTTCTCTAGACGTTGAGCTGTTGATCAATTGGTGTTACGGTAGGCATTACAGTGGGATAAAAGTTAACTACTGCAGCCATCCTCAAGTTGGATGTCAAATTTGTCTGTTTATAATTAAGAACTCAGTTTAGTGTGCTCTTCATCAGTGAGGAAAAAGGCACGTGAGACGTACTATAACTGCTGACTTTCTCTGTAACTGTCAGATGATTATACTTGTTAAAGAAAAGAACTTTCTTTAGTGGTCAGAAATTTACTTTAGGCTAAAACTTTTCAAGATGTTTTGCCTTTAATTTCATACTAGCACGTGTACTTTGGAGCCTTTCAATGTAGGAAATCACAAAAAAACTCTTACATTCCCCTTGATAATACTAGTTCACAACTGTCGTCTTCTCATAAGTGAAGTTTTACATGTAATCATACGATTGATTTCCCTTCTACACAAAACCTATTTTGCATTCTACGGCAAGATGCAGTATCAGGAAAGCAAAGTCTTGTGGCAGTTTCCTGGTCAACAGTTGATGTGACATCAGATGTCATTTTTGGTTTGTAGAGACTGTCATGGAGACTGTTTCCCAGCATTAGAAAGTGAATTGCAAAGCCAGCAGAGGAGCGAGAAATGTTGGTGTTTGGCCTGTGAAGCAGCAGTGGCACCTCTAGACTGAAGGATCCTTTGTGTTTCTAGGGTATCCAAATTCATAATTCAGACTTGGATGTACAAGAGAGTGGGACAGAAGGAAGCCCTTTCCATGTAGGTCTGATCCTTCCCTAAGTAGCTTCATCTGTCTAGTTGAAATAACTCACTGACATTTGTTGCCTTGAAACTCATTACCTCTTCTGTGGTTAGCCACAAGAAAATTAAGGTGGTCTGCCACCAGGATGCGGTACCCAACACATGTATAGATAGTCCTTTCATCTCCCTCGGGAAGGCTGGGATGGGAGCATGGTGACCTTTCCTCCTCTCCTGCCTGTTCCTGCCAGCTTAAGGCAGGGAGCTTTTGTGGTTCCACTGATTCCTCTTGTTGTGGTTAGTTGGCTGTGTTTGCTGGTGGACAGCCAACTCATTTTGGACAAGCTTGAGTTTGTATCCACGCTGGGAACGTTGTTCCACAGCAGCTTTTCAGGCAGTTAAGTTAAACATACAAAATTGACTCTGCCTTTTCAGTCCTAGATCTGTTTTATTTCATTGCTTCTCTTCTTCCCCACTGCTCCTCCCCAGCTGGGCATGGGGCTAGGCTGTGATGTGTTGAAGGATCTGATATAAAATAACTAACAGCTGTTCCCTGCAGTGGAGGAGAGGGGAAACTGCATTGCAGGCAAGAGCATGAACTTCTTCCATTGGTTCTGCTGCCGAAGAGATTGTGCGCTGCGTGGACCCATCCTGCGAACCTTCCTTTCTCAGCCCCTCTTTCAGAGCTGAGCGTGTGAGCTGCAGGGCAGCTGACAACTCCTTCCTTTTTTCTTTGCACATCTGTAAGGAAAGGAGTAACCTTACACTCATCCTCTTGCTATCAAAAACAGAGCTGGGAGCCCTAGGTTAGCTTTTCGTTGCTTCTGTTATGTCGAGAGCAGCTCAGTCACCTCTCTCATGAGGAAGCAAACATTGCACTTGGCTGCTGCAAGTTTATTTTTAAACCATCAAGAAACATGCCTCGAGCATGGTCAATGGTTGTTTTGCCTGCTGGTATAGTGAGACCAGGATGCTCTGACTTCATTTTTTGTTTCTTGAGGTTTTACTTAGAAAAATATTAGTATTTTTATAACCTAACAGGGAAAGGAGAATGTGAAATTTAAAATTTACATTGAAAATGGGATTTTTCTTAGGTCTCGTAGTTCCTAGTAGTTTGTTCTATTCCCAGAAATAATGAGCCTGTTTGTTTTGGTTTGTTTCTCTGTCACAATGTGTTTTTTCTTCCAGTTTTCTTTTGTTTCGGTCTGGAAGTGGGAGGCAAAGAAAAAAAAATTCTTAAGAAATATGCATCCCTGCATGTGGCGCTTCTCTCCCTCCATTTTTCTCCCCTTTTTCCCCCTTCTTCCCAACCCAAATAAAACCAGCGCTGCAGCACACGCGCCCATCAGCTGTGCTCTGGTGGCTGAAAGCTGATAAGAAGTAGCACCAACCAGGGTACAGCCTCTTTAGATCTTCATTTGAGCTGAAGCCCTTTGGAGTTTGAAGGAACAGATATTCCTGGCCTGCGGGACGTGGCTGGAAGCATTAACCAAGTACTACCTGGGACTGCTTGTAGCAGCGAAGGTGTAAGCTAGTTGGGCTCGATTTATAAAGAGCCTTGGTCACAATTGCTTCTAGATACTTAATCTGAAGTTCAAATTGCTTTTGACAAGGTTGGAAAAAATGTCCGATTGCAAAATAAGATGTTGAAATATGAAGGACCAGGGGGAAAAAAAAAATCCTTCAGAGGCTGTGGTCTGTGGCTTCCTATGGGTGTTGCTTGGCCTTAATTTGCGTGTTTTGTTGCAAGGACAGCCATGAGTCTGGAGGAGCAGAAGTGCATGTAGGCAGTGGCAGTCTTTCTGGGTAGAGAGCTAAACAGAGCTAACGTGTTTCAAGCTGTAGCTTCTTGCTGCTTGTAGATGAGTTTCCTTTGCGTGTGCTCTTCATCTACCAATGCTTTGTGTTGACATTTGATGTCTTAACTGTAGCTAATAGTCACAGTAACAACCAGTATTCAGGACCAGAAGGCAAAATGAGAGCTGGTTTTCCCTGCCAGGTGCCGTTGACACATTTACTGTTGCCTTCCCCCTTGTGATCCTTCAGAGGCCCACAGAAGGATTTCAGGTCTTCCTGATGGTACATGCTCCAAGCCAAGCTGATTGCCCAGCTTCAGCCTCACAGCGTTCCCTGCTGATGGGAAAAGGGCAGATAAAGGCCATGCCGAACATTGCCTTGTTTTCATTAGGCTTTGATTTTTACATTCCTGACATACCTAAAGTATCTTGCCCTGATAAATCAGATAAGTTGACAACACCAATATTAAAGGAATGTCCATGTATGTGCCTAATACCCTTGTAAAATATAGTTGTCTATAAAAAGACATCCAAAAGGTACCACTGTTTCTAAGTGGATTTAAACAGCAGTTTTACATCAGCATACTTTCCAGAGCTCACTACATCTGCTGCCTTGCTATTACAGGAGAATAACACCTCTCCTCTGTAAAGCGTGTCCATTATTCACTGCTGCTTGCACTTCACGTGGTCCACTGCATTCATAGATGCATTTTTTTTTTTTTAAAAAGAATGACCAAATTTATATACTTATCTGCACCAGCTTATACCAGCTTCCACTTTTACTGGTGCTATGGTTTGTACCCTTGCAGAAACCAGCAGCTGGTTTTAGTATGCATTTTAATAAATAAACCTCACTGCCGAAGAGCCTGATTTCTCAAATTTCTGTTCTTGCCGGAGCACGGAGCTTGTTCATAGGGACTTAAGAGCAACAAGGGCTAAACTAAAAGCAGTTTTCTTTTGGGGGTAAGGTATTGCTTGGGCTGCATTTTGTCAGGTACTTGCTGCAGAGTGGCGTTTGTGGTTTATCTAAACCATGTAGAAACAGATGACATAGAGACCCATGTGGGAATATCCATGTGAATGCGAAGACCTGTATGATTTCAGGAACTTGCCACTTAATTTTTATCCCTTCTTAGGTTTTTTTTAGCAAATGTCACTGCTTTCTTCTTGTTTAGTCCCTTTTTAGTCAAGTTAGTTGAAAAGCAGGTAGTCCTGTATTCCGAGGGGAGGAGGAGTAGTGGAGGTGTGCTTTAGAGGGGTGAAGTGCAAAGTCTCAGTTGCATAAAGCCTGGGTGTGCCTTGTCGAGCTCTTTCAATAGATTTGAGTGCAGCTTCTCCTCTCGCCCACCCTTTCGGTGTATTTATTTTGACAGAAATTATTTTCTGTAAGTAGAACAAGATACTGTTCTAAAGGCAAAACGAAACTCATGTTTTGAACCCGACATTGGCCATCTGTGTTGTTGGCAATACCCACCGTCGCGTTTTTGGAGTTGATCTGAACACGTTTGGCAAGCGGCTGTTGAGGTCTGTTGGTTGACGTTCTGCAAAGACAACTCTGGCCGAGGTTTTCTCTGTCTGAGCCCAAGATCTTACCGCAGTTCGGTTATACTCTGCTATCTGCCTCTGAACCGGCGAGGTTAATGGATACCCTTTCTGTGATGTTGTATAGGATCACTTTTACTCCAGTCTCCTCTTGTCCGTGAGATGCTTAGTGTCTGTCCACTCCCAATAAAGATAGCCATATGTATATACATGTATCTATATACACACACACGTGTTTTTAATCGTAGAACGTGGCGCTTAACATCAGTGCCT